TTATGAGTAAAAACACTACAATTGGCCATGTTGACAAATCTGTCAACAGAATGTCAATGTTTTTATTAAAAAAAATCTTTCAAAAGTAAAATATACTTTTCTGAAATTTTATTTCAGGAAGATTAGCTAATTTAAAGTTTAATTAATCTAATTTTAAACAAATTATTAATTTTTAGTTTAAAATATCACAAAAAAGCATTTTTTTAACACAGAGGAGGGTGTTTTCATGAGGTGTTGACAAATCTCTCGATAGACATATCTAGGAATTTTTTCTAAGGAGGACATAACTGTAACAATTACTTGACAAATGTGAGTGCCTTTTTTTATATATTTTTTTTAAATACCCAATAATCTTAATAATTTAAGAAAATATTCTAAGTATTCTAATATTTTATTGAATTTTAGATACTTTGGCTTTATAGTCTAACTTACATAGCTTGATGAAAAAGACGCCAACCTTGCCAAAAACAAAATTTTATCGTCTAAATGCTTATGTTATTATTAAGAGGAAAGACTAAAGTTTTTTTTTAATTATTTTTTAAAATTTTTCCTTCTTTTTAGAACATTCTAAATTTTGATTAAAAAAATCTGGTTTCTCTTTGTATCACCGGAACTAGTAAAATAACATGGACAATTTTTAGCCCGTTTTTTTAGTATGACACACATTAATTTGGAAAATCTTGCAAAAACAAAAATAACTGTCAGATGTTAATGAAACTTTCAGGAACTATTCACAGATGATCGAAATTATTATAAATATGTTTGCTTTTATTAAAGTCATGGCAGAAATATTATTTTATATATTTATTACCCACCGCCATAACTAATTTTATGAAAACGCTAGAAATTCAATCGCATCGGCTTTAGTGATTACAATAGTTAAAAGCACAAGGCTTTGAGGAATGCAAATTATGTTTTTTTTTGTTTTTAATTGGACCCTCCCTGAAAATCAGCTCTGAATTGTAACATACAAAACTCAATAAAACAAAGATATTATTTAATTTCAAATGCTTTTATTTGCTTTTAGTTGTTTTTATGAATATGGACAATATTTTCTGAAAGCAAAAAAATTTTTCGATGAAAAATGAATTGTTAATACATTTATTTCCTAATTATAATAGATTTTTACATTTAATTTTTTAAAATATTATAAAATTAGTTAAAAGCAGCATCCACTTTCATAAATGTCCTTATCAGATAGATCTTTTTTTACCACATTGTAAATTGTATCATTTTGATTAATCAGAAGATCCACAGTAATTAAGAAATGTAATTTCGTGTTTATAACCGGGCTGTAATTATAAAGTACGAAAGACCAACCAGAATACAATTAAGTTGCGTTATTTCAGTCAAGCATTGTTCTCCGCTGTTAAGGCCTTTACTTTTGCAAAACACATGTGGAGAAGTTAATTTGATTTTTCAATTTCAACTGAAAAGTGTACCTACAAGTATCAGTATCACCTTATGAAATTTATATGATCTTATTTTTATATTAATCACAGTTATGACATTTTTCCATAAATATCAAAATTAATAATAAAATGAATGGAAATAGAAATAAAACAGTAAAATGTAATAAATATACATAAAATTATAGTATTTTATGTATACTTCTGATAAAATTTCATAAGAAAGGTACCTATAAATTAATTAGATACCTTTCTTATGAAATATGAAATTTAATCTCACTCTTAACAGTCTTATTTTAATTTCTTTATACTTTCCATAAATCATCGTAAACATAATGATTAAAACTAAGTACAAAAAAGAAAAATTAGAGCGCTGAAAGTTTTCCTTAAAAATAACGAGGTAAATAATTTGTTCACTTAAATGTAAATTATTTCACTTTTCTCCTTCCATAGAACAAATTATCCTCACGGAATCCGTCAATATGTCATTCATCATCTGTCAAGTGACGCGAAAGTTTATGACCTGCTTTGTTTTATTTTCAAATTACATCTTTTCGGCGCAGAAGCTAAGTTAAGCTTGGTTAAAAATATTTTAAATAAACATTATAATTTCTGATTTTCTTAAAATAAGTTTTGAAAAAATGATAATTGATATTTAAAAAAATTTCAAAGTGAGTTTTCCAATTTCTTATAAAATGGAAAAAAGGTCAATTTTACTCATTCAAAAAAAAAAACAAAAAAACAAGATTTTTAACGAAAATTTCGGACGTGCCAGAAACGATTAAAAAATGTAAAAAATACCCCAAAAATACTTCTTTCCTCTTAATAATAGCATAAACATTTGGATGATAAAATTTTGTTTTCGCCAAGTTTGGCGTCTTTTTCATCATGCTATGCTCTTTTTTTAGCGATCTCGTGGAGGTACCTAAAAAAGCAATAAAAGCTTTTGTTTTTTAAATGTCAGTTTTATTGCATTTTTTATTTTGCGATTCAATGCAGATTTTCTATAACTAGGGGGTCCTGTTTAACCAAAAAAAAATCAATGATTTAAATTCTCTGAGGATTTGTCCTTATAACTAATATTAAACATCAAGCACTACAAAAAAAAGATTTCTCGAAATTTCATAAAATTAAATAAGTGGGAATTAAATTAACTTAAACAGATGTTAAAAAAAAAAAAAAAAAAAATTATAACGATTTTCTAAAAAAGAATTATTTTAAAAATAATTTGTGAATCCTGAAAGTTTTTATAAATCAGACAATTGTCTAATTTTTCCAATAAATTCCGAATCAGTGTTTTTGCACTGCAAAAAAAAAAAAAAAAAAGATGCTGAAATTTCCCATAATTTATGGTACAACGTTGACACCGAAGAAACAAGATATTTTTATTCGAAGATTCAAAAAAAAATAATTTTTTTAAGTATGCACATTTTTTAGCGAATCTTTGGAAGTACATAAACTTTTTTAAACTAATTTTTAGAGATACTGAAAGAAAGGACGGAAAGGAGCGGCTCGGATTGAGGAATTAGAGAGCCGAGCTCGAATTCTAGTCGAATCTAATTACATTCACTTACGTGGCAAATAGTCTTTCCCAAGAGTATTTGTCAATCCTCTTCTTCCCCCTCCCCAGCTATGAGTAAATAGAAGGACAGACTGGGTTCTATAGCCTTGGATGGCAACTGGTCTACCGCAGAAAGAAATGGCAACCTACTGCGGGGAAAAACATTCTGCCTCGTCAGTCATGTATAGAAAGATACATGATCGCCTAAGCGTGTATCACGTATGGCACATAACTGACTGAAAGAAAGGAACAAGCACCCCCCCCCAAATAAAAATAACATGCAGAGGACAGTTTTATGGCACCAAAATTAACCAGGAATTGACCGCTGAAAGAAGCAGCAATCGCCTTCAAAGGTGCGTCAACAAATATAGTAAATATTTGTGTTGGTGGTTAATAAAATTGATCAAAACTTTTTACTACAAAAAAGAATTCAGCATGTTCTCAATAGATTGGCCAACATTCTTTCTGTCCAGAAAGAAAAGATGGGTTTTAAATTATGATCTCGGGTAAAAAAAAAAAAAAAGTTTGACAAAGGAGAATTGGAAAAAAAGTGATTGTGTTCTTTGACATATAGATCTTAAAAACGGGTATAGCTACTTAAAAATACAAAACTCTTTAACTTTAATAATGTAATTATTGTAAATAAGTAAAATCTTCAGGTATTGTAAATTTTACCATATAGTCAAGCTTTTGGTTTTACTTTTATTTATTTATTTTTATTCTTATATTTCGAACTAAACTTCATTCAATAAAATTAACTTAAAGACCTTGTCCTCAAAGGCAAGATCGGTGTAGTCAGCTTTTGCAACCAGAAAGAAACAATGTTATTAAATTTTCTAGACCTTTAAATTTCACGATGTCTCAGAACATAATTATTTTTCAAAAACCGTATCAAAGTAATAATGATAATTAAAATTCAGGTCTAAAAAAAAAATAATAATATATATATTATTAAAATAATGATTTTTAAATTTAAAATCAAATTCCCGTTCGGATTATTATTTCATTTAAAAATTAACAGAGTTGCATTCTTTTTTGTTTAACTAATATTTCAAATTGAAATTTATAAGAATTTTGTGATGTGCCTTGTAATTTAACTTATTTCTAATTTTTCAAATAACATTTGAATAAATTCTACTTTCCATAAAAAAAAAAAAAATTTAACTACTAAAAATTAAAATAAATTCATTAAACCGATCAACACATTTTTACTTGAACATTTTATTTTAAAAATTCATTAAATTAATTTTTCCATATCAAAAAAATTGAGTATTGTTTATCTTTTAATTTTTTAAATCATAATTTTTAAAAGTGAAAAAAAAAGTCAAAAGAATTTTATTTTTCGATTTAAAAGAGTAGGAATTAAATAAAAACGTTTTCATAATACGTTAGGTTTTTAGCTATTTAAAAAAAAAAAAACAAATACTTAAAAAAAAGATAGAATCATATAAAAATAAAATTTTTGTTCAAATTGATTATTCATAAAATCGCTAAGATAAAACAATGGAAATTAACAAAGAGTAATAATGTAATCAGTTAATAAAAAAAAACATCACCAACATCCTGTACAGATCGACATTATTAAATAACATTTTATTTGAGATTTTCGAGTAAAGGGCTTGTTTATTTTGTTAATTTTCACCGAAATAAATGTTTTAAGGATAAAATTGAGGAAAATGTCGACATGACGAATCAACAACGCTAATGAACTTCGCAAAAAAAAGAAAAAAAAAAAGATACATTTGAAGCATATTTTCCTGAATTTTTTCGAATTAAATCTATAATCACTATTTTATCAAAAAAACTAAAACAAAATCATTCAATCCATGTTAGAGAAACGAACGAAAATCTAAGTGGAAAATTACAATAACACAAAAAAAGCTCAACATTATCGATCGATTTAAAACAACAAAGAAATTCCGATTCTAGAGATAGCAACACTTCTCAAATTCTTTTACTTCCAGTTACATTGAACCATTTTTCACGAGATCGCTTTACATCAAAGCAGAATTAATACTGAGTTTACCTACCGTAAAAAAATGGGTACGAAGCAAGAAAACTTGGGATTTAAAAAAAAAATAAAATGCTGCTTATCTTTACAATTCATAACTGGACGCCATGATTTGGCAAGCGTTGTGTTTTCATAGCCGCGAGTTTCGCATCTTCTTCAAGCTATTATTCAGAATTAATTTTTACGATAATTTAAATTTTAAAACAAAGAAAATTAATTATTTAGAAAAATATTAAAATGTAAAATACAACACCGTTTCCTCACAAGAGAGGAATTTGATAAGAAATGGTTGTAAGAATTTTATTTAGTTCAAATCACATTATTGATTGATATTTGTTATTATTCTTTCTTTTTAGGGAAAATAATTCAGATCTCATCAATAAAATGACCATAAAAAACTCTAGTTACTCGGTGCCTTATTTGTTACAAAATCATAGTTTTAAAAAGTGCATAAAAAATAAAATTGTAATTTCTTAATTTATAAAAATTTAAAATTAATGCTAGATTCAACATTTAAAGCGCTTTTCCTTTTATTTTTTTATTTTTTTTTCAAATTCAATTCAACACGAACGAGTGCTAAAAAGTTTTTAGGCCTGACCCACTTCGCCAAATCTGTTTTTTACTCTTTCTCTTTTTTTTAAGGACTTCTTGGCCAGACCAAAAACTTTTCAGCACTCCCTCATATGTGTGCGTGTTTTAGTTTGTTATTAATCAATGAAGAATGGATACGAAAATAAGGACAAGCTTTCCATTACATTTTTATTGCCTTTCAAAAATATAATTTGGATATATTTTTTATATATAGTTTTATCATTAAAATTATTAATTTTGTTAGATTTTTTAATATATGTCAACAAAACTATAAATAACTGGACTGCCAAAAGATTGATATCCAGATTGTTTCATATTTTTTTAAAACAACATTGATCTTTAAAAAAAAATTTATTTTATGTTTATCACGGGGAAATATACAAAAACGTAGGAAATATTTAACAAAAAACAATCTTAGATTCAAGTTTAAAAATCCAATTTTATGAGTATCACGTGGTTATGGCGTTTACCGTGTTGTCATTGTTTTAAAAAAACGAAAGACATTATCTTCAGGAGATATTTTTAAAAAAAATATTTTCCATATATTATCTTTAAAAATGTGTTTTACTTTTTTTAACCAACTACATACTTGCTCGATAAAAATTAAGCCATTTTTTGAGTAAGAAGGGTGCTTTGCCATGGAATCGTTAATGAGTTAATCTGGAGTGCCGCTATATCCATATTGATCTCGATCTTCAATGAGTGGCCACATTTGTAAACTTGTATCAGACCAAACCAAGTTTAATAAAATATAAAGTCAGGTGGGGAAAAAAGATCTGGGTATCTTTACTTTTTTCGTGTTCGAAAATTTTTCGCATAACCAAAACTGAATTATCTCCCTTCGATTGATTTACCTAGCCTCATATTCTGAGCATAAAAAAAATTAATAAAAATATAATTCAACTTCTGTGGCAAATGCGAATTTATAAAGCAAAAAGAAAAATCAAGCCTATCTACCTTTGGATATAATATAGAATCTATGTTATTATAAATTAATCTCAGCAGACTTTAGTCTTTGTGGTATTCATTCGTTTCATCATGTCACGCTAAGTGACAAACACATACATGTCAACAAATCCAAATGAGGTACGCCTGACCTTTTTTTTTTTATTTGTTCTACAAATTCTTATTGGTTTCAGAAGCTAAATTATATTTCATGTTTTTATTTATGAATTAAATTAAATATCTCCTCATGCAAAAATTCAACCTCTTTTATCCAAAACCAAAAAAGTGAACAAAATCCCGGTCTCATAAATAAAATTCTCATATGCAAAAAGAAACAAATTTAACATTGAAAATTCAAGGAACTTTGAATTCAAATTTGAATGCCAAATTGAGACAATAAGATACAATATATACACTCCAATGTCAAATTGAGACAAAAAACACAATATGCACTTAATTACACCTAATCTTATTAATTTATCTTCTATGAGCCTGGAGTTTTGTCTACTTTTGAGATAAGAGGCTAGGATTTTGTCCATTGAGATTTTGCCCACTGGTTTTTGTTGTGGATTTGCAAATAATGGGCACTTAAATAGAAGGTAGCCAAAATTTTAACTGTTAATAAATTATATTTATATACTTTATGATTCAATTAGAGCCATTTTAAAATCATTACAGGAAAAATATTTAAAAAAGAATTGAGTAAAAGTTTAACAGTACAATGTATTTAGAATTTTATAAGGGTGATAATACCACTAAGACACAAGAGGTTACTGGGTGTGGAAGAGAATGAGAATAATTTAATGAGAAGAAAGGACAATAAAAGAACAGGTATCGATGGTGAATGGTGTGGCATTTAAATCTTTGAAGATTGTATGTAATAGGGAAGCAAGAAACTGGAAGTGAGTTCCTCAGTGACAGAAAAGAATCTGTTGGAATAGAACTTGTAGTTTATAGTCACACAAAGCCCAGTTCAGCACAGGTCAAGCTCTGTAAATCCTTCCCTGCTCATCTCTGTGGTTCATCTTTTAATCAGGTTTTTGACCACACACGCAAATTAACAATATTTTTAAAAGCACGAATCATGCATACACTTTACCTAAATTGCAAATGACTGCTCCAACTAGATGGGCCAGACATTGAAACTTCACAGCCACAAGTAAGTTATAATTCCTTGGCCCTTCACCACAGAACTTACAGTTATATCTAGCTAATTCAACAGAAGATCTTAATGCTAATCTAGTAGTACACTTAAATTCATCCAGTCAAGGTACCAAGGAGCAAAGTTCATCAGAAAAATTTCCATGAAAATATTTATGGAAAAGACAGAGGGAAGCCATGTTACAGTTGTGGATAAGTGACTGAAATAAAGATGCCAGATCAGAACAAATTATATTACAAACCTTTCTTTGGAATTTTTCAAGAGTCTCAAGATATATAGCACTATAACAAGACAACCAAACCAAATATGGCAGCAATATTCAATGCACAGATGAATGGTCAATTTATAAATGTGTAAGATGACTTCTGATGAGAAAAATTGTCTGGTTTGATACAGTGAACCAACTTTCCTAGCAGTAGACCTGCCAATTGATTCAATATAGTCATTTCATTTCATGGCAGTGGAAAACATGATCCCAGAAAGGTGCAAAGAGTTGCTAACCTTGAAGTTAGTCTCAGTCAAGGCAGAAAAAGTTCTTCATGAGGATTAAATGATAGCAGTTTTGTTTTGGAGGCATTACAATTTACAAGCTATTCCTTGCCACAGTTTCTTTTTGTTTTGTTTAAAGTTTTTTTAAAGTTAATTTTATTTAATAATCTTCAATGCTTCTCAGTGTTATATTACAGTTATTATTACTTCAGATACCATGACAATTATTAAGGAGAAAAAATTGTTTTTACTGGGCAAGATCTTTAAAAAAAATGTGTTAATTTGCTTTTTAAGCCTCACACTAAGTATGTAATAAAAATTTCCTGAATAGTTATATTTAGATGTAAATGTATATGCTTAATTCGAAAATAACGAAGAAATTTTGATAAAATCTACTGTATTGGAGTTGTCAACAATAAAAGTTTGGATTCATTTGCATCACAGCAGTCATTACTGGCATTGTTTGCATAAATCTGGTACAGAATAGTCTTGATTATTGCACACACATTGAGTCCTCAGTTGTGCAGTAATTGAGTTAAGGATGAACTGTAAAAAAGCCGTTAACAAGGTAATCTTCCATGCAAATCTGATCAGCAGCGAATGTATGCAAACAACGCTAGTAATGGCTGCCATGCCATAATGCGAATGAATCTAAACTGTTATTGTTAATAACTTCTAAATGGTAGATTTTATCAAATTTTTTTTTTGTTATTTTTGAATTAAGCATGTACATTTATACCTAAATATAACTATTCAGGAAATTTTTATTAGATACTTAGTGCAGGACTTAAAAGACAAATTACCCAAAAAATGATATTCACACATTTGCTATGTGATTTTGCTCTCATTCCAATTGTTTCATTTGTTTGTGTTTAAATCAATTCCAATAATAAAAAACAATTATCAAAGATTTTAAAATCTAAAAAGAAAATCTTGTTGATGAAAATGAAAATTTAAAATGACATCGAATCGCTTATGAGAGTAGCATTGAATAAATGCACCAATCAATTATACCACAGTGAACATGCACAAAATGCATGCACAAAATTCAATTCTAAAAGCAAATATCTTCTCTGGAGAAAAAGACCAGTTTGTAAAAGTATAAGTTAATTGCAAAAGTATATTTTAATAAACTAAATAATAGATCCTTCATTCAATGCCTTTGATCTATTAAAGTTGACTACATGTTGGATATATCCCTTATATCTGTTTCTCAGGAATTTGAAATGACTAGTGCATATTTGTCTTTAATAAAATCATATCAATTACCACATAAAAGAATAATGAATAACCTGACTGCCATTGAAACTCACCACTTCAGTTGCTTATGTCTTGACAATTCTTCAAGAATGGTTGCTATACAAATTGGAAAACTATCAGGATTTATTTGAGGAACTTGCTGCTACCTTTCATCTGCAATACATATTCTCATTCACAAACAGTAGGCCATAGAACCTGTCTCCTTTGATTTAAACAGAGACACCATCTATCAAAAACTAATTTATCCCGAAATTTCATTACTTCTATACATTTAGTATACAGAATTAATTTAAAGTTTCACCAAACTGTCAAACTGTTTTGAGTTGTCATCCAAACACACAAAACACATCTTTATTAGAATTTCCAGTTCAGTACTTGTCACTTTGCTGACCAAATTTCAAATTGCTTGTACATTTAAAATACTACATTTATTAGAAAATATATTCAGTTTAAATACAGAATAAGTCATGTGATTTATATTGTACTTGTTGCTTTGGTAATGGAAAGATGATCAAATTTTTGAGTTAAATAGTTTGTCCTTTTAAAATACTACATTTATTAGAAAATATATACAGTCTAAATACAGGAGTCATAAAAATGACTTTGTGGGGTCAGTCTATCCAGATTTTAGATGGAAAAATAAAATCTGAATGTCATATCCACAAATACAACACAAAATTATAAATGTGAAGAAATAATCTTTGCAGAAAAGTAAGAAGACCAATCTAAATATGACAGTAACATTTATACAGCCAGATACATGTATTTACATATTATTCTTTGTTGTGGCCATGAAGAGACCAATAGATCAAGTGTATTGAAATGATTTGTCGTGAGTCTGCAAAGTTTCCAAGTGTTTTTGTTATAAGTGAGGAAATCAAGTGATATGATACACCAATATGTGTGTGTGTGTGTGTGTGTGTGTGTGTGTGTGTGTGTGAAGCACATGCTAATGAAACGTGTGTGACTGCTGACTGTGTGTGATAGCAGTAATTTTAAAATGCAGTGAACAAAGAGAGGAGAAGAAAAACTTACTTTTGTTGTAAGTAGAAAAATCATTGCTGTTATACATGTTGTCATAGTAATGTGTGTCTAAGCTGTTGATCGAGGCTGGTAGGGTTCACTGACTGTCCTTCACTGACTGTGACATTGCAGATCTGGTTGCTGACTGTTGCTAATGACCTGTTTTTGTTGCTATTTAATAGCAGGTGCTTGGCTCACAAATCCTACTATCTGAGTTTTGCACTTTGGAGTTCAACCACATGGATGTCATAGAAAGCACATCATGTGATTTGTCCTATTCAATCAGGTTTTCAGAAACCACATTTAATTTGGAGCTGTGTTTGTACAGAATTGTAAAAAATCTTTTTTGTATCTACTGAATTTAGTAAGATTTATTTGTAGGTGTCCCTTACTTGTTTGTGCTTCACATATTGGCTCTTAAATATAGGAGTTTATATCCTATAACTTCAAATGAATTTTTGCCAACACAAAAAAGGAAATTAGTTCTGATGATACAGATGCATACTTCAATTTCATTCAAACAATAGGTATATGTATATTTTAAGTCAATAGCAGATCTAAAAATATTTCTACATAAATAACTTTAAAAAATAATTCTATTAACAAATAATTTCAGAAAAGTTCAATAAAATCTGATAAATATCTTAATATTTTATAGCTTGAAAAATTAATCTTCTTCTGTAATATTGGTGCAAAATTCCCTGCTACTATCGTTTGACCAATGTTAGTGAAATCTCTTAAATATTTTTGAAGATTAATTAGCTCTTTAGTGTAATCTGTCAACAGCAGTAAATTATTTACAAGCCTTAAGAAAAATGCAGAAACTAGACAAATGGATTCCACTTACAGATACAAAAATTAGACTGCATTTCTCAGCATGGATAGTATTTTAGTATTATCTATTAATATTTGTCTTATCAACATAAAACAAATATTAGTAAATAATACCAAAAATACTACACAGCACTGACTGTATGGAAGACCT